AAGGGGAGAGAGGCATTTGAAAGAGCACAGAAACTAAAATTCAGAACGGAGCAAAATTCACGTGGGGCGGAGGGAACACAAGGGAAGACAGCAAGTGGAAAGTTTTCAAAACCCCTAAGAAAGTGCAGAAATAAGCCACTCCCATCGCTCTCTAAAAAAATGGGAAGGGCCACTGGTCCAGCGTTAGGGGATTCGCTGTGAAGCCCTTTGTGCCTGGAGCAAACAAACCACCCTGTTAAGCAAGGAGGCCAGCAGGTAGCATGGTGATCAAGCCTCTGGACTCCCACAAGATAGATGGTGGTTCAAGTCGTACCAGGTGCTTGAAAAAAATCACTTAATTCCACCCTAGCTGTGTCTTCCCTGGGGTCTCCATACTTACCATAGCGCATTCTTTCCCTGGGCTATCCTTTCTCTGAATCACATTCCAAACACAGAAAGAATAGAATGCATTTGAATGCGGTATTAAAATTAAAATAGACCCACTGGAGATAACACCCACAAGAGAAAAATCAGGGTATAATCTGGTACACATTACTCCCCTGGCCTCAGGCAGAGGAAAGAGTTGTTTTTCGTTTGGGAGGGGGGAGATTAAAAGTAAAAAGCTTGCTTAGACAACTGCTTAAGTGGAAATGAATAAACTCTGCCCCGAGAGACTTTAATTTTTTGCTTTTCAGTTTTCCTTGTTTTCCACTCCTGTCCTCCACCCACCTCTTCAAATTCATCTGTACTTCAGAAATATAGGTCCCTGGACAAATTAGCCCAGGGGGGGGCACTCACGGCCTCGGACACTGCAGAGAACAGAAGGGACACTGAAGGTCCCGTTTGCGATACCCAGTTTTCATGAAGGAGTCTCTAATTACGAGCATCTGCATCCCAGAAGGGTTCCTTGCAGGTCGCGGTCTTCTTAATGCAGCACAACGGGACCTACTGCCCTTTAACACGTCTTGGTTTTAAACTGGAGTGATCGTGGTGGGGTGGGGGGGATAAGGGATGAACTGAATATCTATCGTCAGACTAGGAGATCAGGCGATCGGCATCCCCAACTCCACCGCGCCAGCCAGAAGAGGCATTCTCAAGAGAAACCATTTGCTGTTAGGCTGGATTCGTGTCATTTATCAGAACACTCTGCTACTAGTCTCTTAACGGCCAGGCCCGGGCTTGGGGAGGAGGGGGAGTTGGTGGGTGAGTTTACCTTAGAAGGTGGGGGGAACAAACAGGCCTTTCAGAACCACCTAGGGCTCTGCCTGGAGGCGCGAGGTGGCACGGAGGGGCTGGAGAAGCCCGGAACTGCAAGCCCCGCCCGACTCCTACAGGTGGGCGGCGCGCGGCCTCCGGGACTCGGGCTAGAGGAGGGGGCGCGCGGCTCACCAGGGACTCGGGAAGGAGTGGGGGACTGAAAGGGCTGGGCAGCTTTCCTTAAGGAAGCGGCGCAAGGGGGGAGCACGGGGCTTTTCGCTGCCCGATTCTCGCTCCCTCTGCTGGGTGCTCACCGGCTTTCCCGAGGCAGGAGGAGCCGGGTGGGGAGAGGAGCCGCGGGCACCTCCCACCATCCTCCCGGCGAGCCTCGGCCTCCTCCCGGGTGCGGTTAAGCCGCGCGGCCGCGGTGCATGCGCCCCGGCACGTACGAGTCTGCACGACCACAGGCGGGCGGGGCACGGGCGCCGGAATCGCGGAGACCCGGCCCCTCTCGGCCGTTCCTCTCCCCAGCCGACCCGACCCCGCTCCGGCTCTCCCCCGTCCCTCGCCCCCGCAGCCCCTCACCCGTGTTGGCTTTGATGTTCTCCCGCAAGAAGTGGCCGCTGGACAGATGCTGAAGGCCAAAGTTCTGGGCGATCCTCTGGCACACGGTGCCCTTGCCCGAGCCGGGCGGCCCGAGGATGACCGCGCGCAGGAGTTTGGAAGCCATGGCCTTCGCGAGGAGGGGGCGGCCAAACGCGCAGCCCGACAGCGGCCCCCGAGGGAGCCCGGGGAACTTTGTGGCTTGACCCCTGCCTTTGGCACCCTCCGCTCGCGCGGAGACTCGCCGGCCGCCCCTACAGGGGAAGGAGAGACTTTTGAGACAACCCCTCCCCTCAGCCCCGCGCCCCGACCGACTCGAAGGCGGAGTAAGGCGCCACGCTACACCTCCCCGCCCTCCTCCACCTCCTCGCCCCCACGCCGAGCCGCAGAACTCCGGGGCCCCGCCCTGCGCGGCCAGCCTCCAGGGTCAGAGGGCAGCCCAGCCTGTCCCCCTGGGTCCCTTCCTCTATCTCGCTCCCCGCGCTGCCTCTGAGGATGGGGCTGGGCAGCCCGGCATCCCCTGCCAGGCTAGGGCGAGCCAGAGAGCTGGGATAAGGGGGTGACTCGAAACGCGCCCCCCGTCGCCCCAGGCACCGGACACCCTGCCCGGCCCCCGCACGTGGGCAGAGTCCCGGGCGCGCCTCGGCCCCTCCCCAGCGGCTGTCCCCTCCCCCGGGGCGCCGGCTGGAAGCAGCGCTCCGAGAGGCTTCCAGCCCCGATCCCGCTGGGCGGCGCCGCCTCTGCCCGCCCAGTCTCCGAGCTCCGGCCGGCCGCGCGGGACTCGCGCCTTACGTAAGCCGGGGAGACCGGCCCCGCGCGATCCTCGGGCTGGCGCCCCCTCCTGCCCACCCCGCCTTCCCCGCCCACGTGCTCCCCGCGACCCAGTGGGGGCTGCGGGGGCGAAGGGAGGTGGGGACAGCGCCCTCAAGAAACCCCCTCTGTGTGTGTATGTGTGTTTGTGTGTGTGTGTGTGGTCGCCTAGGGATCCAGTCCGCTGTGAAAGAGGAGGGAAATTACAACTTATTGAACGCCTACTGTGCATCAAGTTCAGAGCCAGGTGATTTCATTATGCAACAACCTTTCCAGGTGGTTTCAGGTTAGGTATTCACAGACGACGGAACGAGGCTTGTAGTGCAGTCTTTCGCTCATCGACTCAGACGTTCGACAAAAGTTTACTGAGTGCCTACTAGGTGCCAGACACTGTTTATTGCTATGACCAAGAGATCAAATTTTGCCCCCTTGGAAGTCATGTGCCAGGGTGCGTTTGGACCTCGTGATTCCACGGCCCCGGAGCCTTAGCAAAGAGGGCCGGAAGGGATCTCACTCACCTGCGCCCAGGACCTTATAGGTAAGCTGATTCCAGAACCTCCGCTCCTGTCCAGTTGGTGCTGCACTAAAGCTCACCCCGTGCAAATGAAGCGCTCCTCTCCTCTCACCCTCCCCTGCGTGTCTCAGTCTGTATTCTCTTTTCAAATAATTATTTAATTTTTATCATTATTATTATTATTATTTACTCTGCTACAGGGCACATGCACAAGTGGGAGAGAAAGAGAAGAGAGAAAGCAAGACTTCAGATCCAGGGCTCAAACTGTGGTTGGCCATGTAGGAGTCCAGACCACCTGCTGACCCCTGTATTCTCTTTTTTTTTTTAAAGAGAGATTTGGTAGAGGGCACATATATGCTCTCTGAAGAGACAGACAGAAAGTGAGAAATCACCCTTCCAGGGGAGGGGGATGACTGTGCTACAATTCCTTCTCCTTCAGTCTCTCAGGATTTTAGGCATGCACACACATGAGTTTCAAATCGCTGGGTCCGAGACTAGAACCACAGTCGGCCATGTGGGATTCTGGCAACTTAACCAGTACACAGTCCGCTGGTCCTGGCACATATTCTCTTAATTTTGTTTCTGCCTTCCTTGGAGCTCTCCATTTCCCACCCCAACAAGTGTAGTAACTGCCGCTAAATCTGCTTCCTCCCCATTTTCCATGCAGTTGCCGGAAATACTGCTAAAGTAAAAATCAATTTCTGTTATTTCCCTGCTTCAGATATTATCCTCCCTTCAGGATAGAGAATCTTCAGCAGGGGGATTGGATCGGATCCCTTCCATACATACAGCTTTGCTTTCCCCACCTGCACGGTGCTCTTCTGTCTTCCTTCTATAGGCCCCCTGCCTTTCAGGAAATCCTGTGCAGAGTTCTGAGAGCTACTGCCCAGGTGAGGGACATAAATAGTGGGACAGTATGGAAAAGAGGCTCTTTTCTATTTCTGGCTGCTGCAAGTTGAGGGACACCAGGCAAAGCCTGATAATGTATCCTGTCAGCAAGCCCCGTTCTTCCTTTTCCTCTTGTACATATGGAATTAGCCAGACAGCATCTCTGGGCCACCACCCCTGGCCAGCATTTGTTCCTTAGATTCATTTCATTTCCCTATCTCCCTCTAAACTATCACAGTGTGCTGTAGACTTTATCCTCAGCTCCTCCAGCCCTTCACCTTGAAACAAAGAGGAAGAACTTCCCCTGGGGGCAGGGTGGGAGGTTGACTTCTTTTCTCCCTTTCTTTCCTGCGCTGAGCTCTGTAAGTATAGCAGATACTTCTTTGCAGTGGTTCTCAGAGTGAGCATGCATCAGAATGACCCAGAGACTTGCCAAAACACAGGCTGACCCCACCCTGATGGTGAGGCTGGATTTAGTACACCCCAAAGGTCCCTTTGTAACTGGCAAGAATTGATGCTGGTACATGTATACACTGTAACCCATCAACATATACAATTATGTGTCAGACCTCAAAATAACCATAATTGATGCTGTACATTTGTACAGGAAAGATTGCTTTTAGCCAGATGAACACACCAGATGAACTATAGCCCAGTCTTGCCCAATCACCCAGTTCTTTTGCCTGCTTTTGAAATGTCTTTACCGACATCACCTTATAGAGGCAGGGATCCGTGTAAGTCATTCACTTGGTCCTAGAACTTGATGCTTTTAGAAGCTTAAATTGTGAAACAGAGGGTTGTGACACAAGTAAACACATTAGAGAACCCCGCAGAGGCTGGAATCTAGCCTTTCACCAAAGACCCATAACAGGCCATCCCTGTGCAGAGTCACCGCAGGGTCTCTTAGCCCAGCTGGCCTCAACTTGGAAGTGCAGTAGAAGAGGAAGAAGCAGACTTTGGAGCCAAATACACCTGGAAGCAAATGGCAACAGTCCCACTCACTAATTCTGCAAGCCTCAGGATCTCTGCCAGCCTTAGTTTGCTAATCTGTGAAAGGGAGATAATGCTCCTCTCAAAGGCTTGTGGTGGCACTGAAATGAGATGCTATATACAAACTAAGTATTTATGAGTAATCATAAACCTCACCATCATTATTATTAACCATGGGCCAATGACTTAGCCTGTCTGTATTTAGTTCCTGAATTGTGAAAAATAAATGAGATGGTATTTTGAGAGGGTTTTTTTTGTTTTTTTTTTTGTTTTTGGTTGCTTTTGTTTTGTTTTGTTTTTGTTTTTTGCTATAGGGCACATGTGCTCACCAAAGAGTTAAGGAAGACAGACAAAAAGTGAGAAATCACCCCCCAGGGAGGATGACCATGCTGCAGTCCCTTCTCCATTTCCCTCTTAGGATTTTGGGCACACATACACATGCGCTCGACATGAATTTCAAGCTGCCAAGTCCAAGACTCAAACCACAGTTGGCCATGTGGTAGTCCAGCAACTCAACCACTATGTTACCTTCTGGCCCCAGTGAGATTTTTTTTTTTCCGAGAGGTTTTCGCTATAGGGCACGTGCACTTGCCAGAAAGACAGAGAGAGACAGAGAGAAAGGAAGCAAGAAATCACCCCCCAGAGGGGATGGCCACACCACAATCCCTTCTCCTCTACTCTCCTCTTGGGACATGTGCATGCGAGCCCAAGATCCCAAGAGGAGAGTGGAGGAGAAGGGATTGTGGACTCGAACCGCGGTGGACTACATGGGAATCTAGCCACATATCCATTACGCCAACTGCTGTTCTCCCCAGTGAGAATTTGTACATAACCTAGTGGGTTGGCTTATTGCACAGAGTAGTATACTGCTCAAAAGAAGCCAGATAGCACATGGCAACTGGAGTTTGGCCAGGTCTGCCTGATCCACACCAGGCTCTGATGCAAGTGCCCACGATCTGATGGACTGAAGGACTGGAGAAAGGAGGTCACAGTGTGAGCAGACCCTGTGGAAAGTGCTTATCTCTCTTTCTCTCTCACATGCGCCCTATCATAAAGACAAAACAAACCAAACAGCTAGTAGTGCTCTGGCCCTTGGAGAGTAGTTCTCTAAATGATAGCTGTTCTTATCACGTATATTCTTTTTTTTTTTAACGTATATTCTTGAAACTGCTTCCTATTTCTTTTGTCTAGAGTTTTTAACTCCTCTATAACATCTATCACAGTGTGCAAGTTATTATACATTTTGTTTGCCTCCCCTTCAATACTGTAAACTCCAAACTTTCTGTACCCACAAATATATGACACTTTGTGCTAAGTAAGCTATTAATATTGGCAAGTTTCCAATTCACTTTCATAACACACTCAACATAGCACTCTCAACATTAAATCCAGCCCCATTGCCGTTCATGGTAGTACAAAGTCTGTATTTGATGACACTTTCACGTTTATCAGATTCTCACAAATTTGCAAAGAAAGTAGCATTTAAAAAAAAGGGGACCAGCAGATGCTATGGTGGTTAAGGTGCTGGACTCCCACATGGCCGACCATGGTTCGAATCCCATACCTGGTGGCTTGCTTTCTCGATTTCTCTCTCTCTTTTTCTCTCACTCTGTCCCTCTCTGGTCGAATTAAAATAAATAAATAAATAGATGAATGAATAAGTAAGTAAATAAATAAATGAACTTAAATAATTCTTTTAAAAAAAAGAAAGTGGCATAGACATTCTTACTCTTTTTTTACAGGTAAGAAAACTGAGAGGTTCAGTGAACCGCCCAAGGCAACAGAGGTGGTTGTTGGTGCAGCAGGGTCTCAGACCCAGATGTTCTCAACTGAGCACAGTGCATTGTTTTTCTTAGCTTTGATCTTCTCCATACTGTCATAATTTTGCCATCTGGACTCCCACATGGCCGACCATGGTTCGAATCCCATACCTGGTGGCTTGCTTTCTCGATTTCTCTCTCTCTTTTTCTCTCACTCTGTCCCTCTCTGGTCGAATTAAAATAAATAAATAAATAGATGAATGAATAAGTAAGTAAATAAATAAATGAACTTAAATAATTCTTTTAAAAAAAAGAAAGTGGCATAGACATTCTTACTCTTTTTTTACAGGTAAGAAAACTGAGAGGTTCAGTGAACCGCCCAAGGCAACAGAGGTGGTTGTTGGTGCAGCAGGGTCTCAGACCCAGATGTTCTCAACTGAGCACAGTGCATTGTTTTTCTTAGCTTTGATCTTCTCCATACTGTCATAATTTTGCCATAACCTTATACCTCTTTGGCCCTTGTCTGCTTGTCATGTTTCTTTAAATCAATTCAATTACTGACCATAGTAAAAAGATACACTACAATAAATACAAGAAAAATAAAATAAGGCAAATAAAAATAAGGCTACCAGATACCACCCTGAATCTATTGTCTATTGATTTGCTAGGCTCAATTTTATTTTAAAAAGGGAGGGAGTAGATTATCCAGTATTAGATGGTTAAGATATACATCATCTCGGGCCACCAGATGGCATAGTGGTTAAGATGCTGGACTCCCACATAGCTGACTTT